TACAAATACATAAAAATAAATGTATTAAAGAAGACATGGCCATCTGTGTCACTCAGGATCCAGTGCTCAGTGTGGCACAACACATAACCCTAACCCTCTGCTCTCATAATTAACATCCTTCAAATGCAAGGGGAATACTTCCTATCGCTTGCCCTGTGTGCTTGAAACAAAAGGCAAATGCATCCTAATGCCTTGAAAGTTTGTGAGTTATGTTGCTGCTGATATCAGACACTGCTTTAGTGTGCAGGGAGAATTTGAGCAGCAGAAGTGCTTAGTAAGAGAAAAGATAAATCAACCTGTCAAGTCCTTCCTCTCTCAGTAGCAATAGATTCTTCCATAACAATGATTGTTTCCCAGTAGTAACAAGCATTGGCTTTCTGGCTTCTCTTTGTGTTCCAATTCACGGTTCCTTGACATGTGGTAAGTGGACCTCCATTTGTACTCTTGCCCCAGGCCAGGCAAATCTTAGAAGCTGGCCTGTAGCTAGCACGGTAAGATGTGAAAAAGGAATGAGGTATAACTATTGGAAAAGGAAACAAAAACCATCATTATTTGTAGCTGATTCATTTGTTGCTCCAGAGAACACCCAAGGGAATCAGTTGAAACACTCAGATGTAACTCAGAAAAAAGAGTTCAGGAAAGAGTTCAACAAAGTGGCTGAATAGCAATCAATAGTTTTCCTATAAGCCAGCAACAACCAGTTAGAAGATATAATGGAGAAAAAAAAATCCATTTGTGATGATGACAAAAAATAGCAGAGAATCCATAGTGAGACATAGTGAGATAGTGAGAGCAGGAACACAAGCAGGGGGAGTAGGAGAGGGAGAAGCAGGCCTCCCGCGGAGCAGGGAGCCCGATATGGGACTCGATCCCAGGACCCTGGGATCATGACCTGAGCCGAAGGCAGACGCTTAACGACTGAGCCACCCAGGCGCCCTAAAAAAGTTTTTATTTATTTATTTGACAGAGAGAGATTCCAAGCAGGGGGAGCAGCAGGGAGAGGGAGAAGCAGACTCCCGCTGAGCAGAGAGCCCAGAGTGGGGCTCGATCCCAGAACCCTGCTTGATCCCAGGACCCTGGGATCATGACCAAGCCAAAAAGAAGACACTCAACCAACTGAGCCACCCAGGCACCCCTAGAAATAACATTTTTTAAAAGGCATATGCTCTACACAAAGAAAACAAGGATATTTGTATATCTCTCAATAACTAGGATTTGAATAAATGGAAATTGATGCCATATTTCTAGATGAAAAAGCTAAATTTTGTAAGATGACCGCTTTTAAAAATTAATCATATGTTTAATTTAATCCAGTCAAGATTCAAAGTTATTTACCATGATAAAGTGATTCTAAGTTCACCTAAAAGAATAAATAAGGAAAATAGCAAAGAAATTTTCAAAGAAAGAATAATAATGATGGGATACTTGGCTTATGAGATATTAAAATGTATACATAAGTTATAATATTTAAAACATTATAGTATTGTCACAAGAATCAACAAACAAATCAGTGGAATAGAAGCCTTGAGACTGACCTAGTAAAAAGATAAGAACCCAATATACAATAAAGGAAGCATCACAAACCAACAAGGACAGAATTCATCAACATATAAAATGTAAAAAAAAAAAAAATGAAAGCATAAAACAGCTTTAAAAAGTATAAGCAAATGTTAAATTTTGAGATTGGGAAGAATTTTCTAAGTAAAAAAGCAATGGAAAAGCCATAAAAGTATTGCTAGACTTGACTCCGTTAAATTTATTGGCAAAAACAAAGTGGGAAAGATATTTTTTTATTTTTTAAAATATTTTGTTTATTTCTTTATTTGAGAGAGAGAGAACACAAGCAGGGGGAGTGGAAGAACGCGGGGCTCGATCCCAGGACCCTGGGATCATGAGCTGAGCTGAAGGCAGACACTTAAAGACTGAGCCACCCAGGCACCTCTGGGAAAGATATTTAAAACATAATTGATGTCAGTATGATATAAAGAGCTCTTATGAATCGATCAAAAACACCAACACTCAAAATAAAAATGGAAAAGGACATAAACAGAAAGTATACATGTGACCAACAAATATATGAGAAAATGTTCTAACACACCAATAATCCACAAAATACAAATTTTTATGAATGAAATTGGTGAAGATGAAAAACACTGAAATCCTCAATGCAGAAAGATTGTGTTTTTGAAGTTTAATGATACAGAAAAATGCTAACCATTGAAAAAAAAGCAGGGTATAAAACTGACTCTATAGTAGGATCAAATTTTGAAAAACAAATTTATATGTATTATGTACATAGAGAAATATTTAAGAAAAAGGTCAATTAGAATATTGATCAGTCGGGGTGCCTGGGTGGGTTCAGTTGGTTAAGCATCTGTCTTCAGCTCAGGTCATAATCTCAGGGTCCTGGGATAGAGCCCCATATCTGCATCTGCATCAGGCTCCCTACTCACTGGGAGTCTGCTTCTCCCTCTCCCTCTGCCTCCTCCCCACTGCTCATGCTCTGTCTCTTTCTCTCTCTCAAATAAAGAAATATAAATTTTTTTAAAAAAAGAAAACATTGAAAAGAAAAAAAGGCAGGAAAAAAAGAAGGCAAGGAACTTGTCAAAGATTATTTTAAAAAAATGAAGAAGAATATTGACCAATCAGAATAACAATGTTCATCTCAGCATGTTGGGATCATGAGTTATTTTTTCCTTATATTTATTATTAGTATTATTATTATTCAGTATTTTGTACATTTTATAATTAATATTATTATTCCCATTATCATGTAATTTGAAAGCAAATGGTATATAATTCCTATAGTGCCTAATTCACTTGTATGTGCATTGTAGAACTCAGTAATTTATAGGTCTAATCATAATCACGAAAGCCTGAAATTCTTCCACAATAAGATGTAACTGATTGAGGCGCCTGGGTGGCTCAGTTGGTTAAGCGACTGCCTTCGGCTCAGGTCATGATCCTGGAGTCCCGGGATCGAGTCCCACATCGGGTTCCCTGCTCAGCGGGGGGTCTGCTTCTCCCTCTGACCCTCTTCCCTCTCGTGCTCTCTGTCTCTCAATCTCTCTCTCAAATAAATAAATAAAATCTTAAAAAAAAAAAAGATGTAACTGATTGCTAAACCTTAAAGCGTTAACCACTCCCAGGGATAATATGTGCATTTAAATTCATCAGTTTCCCCCACCCCCAAGGAAAATTTGTTAGGATCTGGTGCACAAAAAGTATTGTTCTAGGTACTATGGGGGATATACAGAAGTTGTTCCTACCTTTGAAATGCTTATAAGCTACACTAACTGTGGAGTAGATTAGGAAGACAAAAGAAGCAAAAAGGGAACTACATCATTATATGTTAGACACTGTGCTAGGCAATTTACTTATATCGAATTCTTACAACAAACTTTTGAGGCTGAATTTTCATAGACATTTTATAAATGTGGAAATGGAGGCTCGGAGAAGTTAAGTGACAAGTTCCCAGAGTTAGTGGCAGAGCTGGCTTTTAAGCCCTGGACCTTCTGGACCTGACTCCACACTATTATCTCTCTTAATGAACACTGCCTCATCAAAAAGGTGTGTGTGTATGTGTGTGTGTGTGTGTAATTACAGTGCAAAGCAGATCAGGTCAGTGCCATACTTATGAAGTATATGGAGAGGCAATAGAGCAGTGGTTAAGAACCTGGGCTCTTTTTTTTTTTTTTAAAGATTTTATTTATTTATCTGACAGAGAGAGAGCCCAAGCAGGGGGAGCGGCAGAGGGAGAGGGAGAAGCAGGCCTTCCACCGAGCAGGGATCCCGAGGCAGGACCATTGGATCACTACCCGAAGGCAGCCGCCCAAAGACTGAGTCACCCAGGTGCCCAAGAACCTGGGCTCCTAACCCAGGTTAAGACTGCTTAGGTTTGGGGGCGCCTGGGTGGCTCAGTCGTTAAGCGTCTGCCTTTGGCTCAGGTCATGATCCCAGGGTCCTGGGATCGAGCCCCGCATCGGGCTTCCTGCTCAGCGGGAAGCCTGCGTCTCCCTCTCCCACTCCCCTGCTTGTGTTCCCTCTCTCGCTGTGTCTCTCTCTGTCAAATAAATAAATAAAATCTTTAAAAAAAGACTGCCTAGGTTTGAATTCTGGCTCTCCACTTGCCAGCAGGTACTCTTGGGCAAGTTACTTATTTCCCTGTGCCTCAACAATGGTCCATCCATAAAGTGGGAGCTCATACCTAGCTTGCAGTGTTGCTGTAAAGCTAATGAGTTAATACAAGTAAAAGGTGGTTGTCTAGCACTTAGTAAACAGTAAACAGATATTGGTTATTATTTCAGCAAATCAGAGGAGGGAGAAGCCATATCCAGCTGGGACTGGATCAGGAAAGGCTTTGCGGAGATGACTTTGAAGAAAAGGTTGAATGTTAAGGAATAGTGATGGAGTAGGGAAAGGGAATGTAGGGGAGGTGGGAAAGCTCAGGTTGTATGGGGCCCTGAGTAGATAGGAGAGGAGGGGAGGCATGGGAGCTATTGGAAGATAAACCTCCAAAGAGAGGCAGAGGTCAAAATGCCAAATCTAAAACTCTGGCGTTAACGACTGGACAATGGGAGCCATTAAAGGTTTTCCAGGCAGAGAAAAATAAACCTTTCTTCAGGAGCAACGGAGCCTGACAACTTTGCAGTTTTATCCTTGAGTGTTACCCACTGCAGAAACAAATAAACTGAGGACCGCTGTTTCGACTGAGGGAAAGGGAAAGGGGAGAGAAGGAGGGAGGTTGCAAAAAGGGAGTGAATAACTAGAGGACTATAGAGATGAAAAGTGCGCCTGGTGGGAAGTGGTGGGCAGGAGGTCTCCCCTGATTCCTCCTTCCAGAGCAGCCCAGGAACAGACCTCGAAGCATAACCTACTTTCCTCCCATTTTAAGACGTGAAGTATCCACCTCAGTTTAGGTCTTTAACTTCCAGACTGTGCTTTTGGCCAGGAGTAAGCGTAGGGCATTAGGACCCAGAGATTGTTGTAGTGAGAGAGGTTGAATCGCGATCTCTCAATTTTTCTCTCGAGCTCCCTCCTCTCCCTCCCTTTGTCATTCTAGCTGCCTGCTGCCTCCGCAGCGTCCCTCTAGCTCTCTCTGTGCTAACTGCCTGCGCCTTAGACAGACGGGGTGCGCCCAGCGGAAGGATTAGTTGGGACCTGCCTCGGCGACCCCATGGCATCCCCCAGAACCATAACTGTCGTGGCCCTCTCAGTGGCCCTGGGACTCTTCTTTGTTTTCATGGGAACTATCAAGTTGACCCCCAGGCTCAGCAAGGATGCCTACACTGAGATGGTAAGTGAAGCAAACGGGTGACGAGGGACGCACCCCCAAGGGATTGTGAGTACCTCTCCCCTTCTTTCCTTCCCAGTCCATGGTCCGGTCCCCTTAACCCCTACCCCCACCCCGGACCATACCTTCTCCCCAACAACTTTGCGGCTCTGAAGGAGCAGCTGGACAAGAGCGATTTCATTTGTGGGCTATGCTGGGAGCAACTGTTTTGGAGCCACTGGATGCCAGTTGGGGGAGGGGTCGCCCGGCGAGTACACCCCACCTCCAAGTAAACCAGAAGGCTGAGACCTGCGTAACACCTGTCACTGGCAGGAATCCTTCCCTCCTTCTAGCACACCCGAAGTCCGGGCAACCAGGCTGCAAGTCTGATTCCTTCCCTTGGAGCTAAGAGTTTAGCAAGCTGGAGAGTTTATTTATCTTAGGGAAGAACAAAGGGGAAGGAGGGAAAGATCTGGAGGAGAACGGGCTACTAAAACAAGCGATTCCTAGGGGCGGGAAAGGTATTCCTCATCCCTGGTGGAGAGCTGATCCCCTAGCCGCCTGGCTGTGTCTGTATCCTTCAGACAAAGCAGTCTTGGCCCAAATAAAGGTCATTGAGCGCCTGCTTCTGCCCCTTTTCTCAAGGGAGACCTGGGTGTTTTGTTTTGTTTTGTTTTGTTTTGTTTTGTTTTGTTTGTGGGCTAATCTGCAAAGTCTGCCTCTTCTTTCCTGCAAAATAGTCCATAATTCCCACCTTGCCTCCTGTGGATGCCCGGGGTCAGGTCCTCTGCAGGTTTTCCCCTCTGCAGAGTTGAAATCACCGAAGGTGACTGGCCAAAACATTTCCTCTGCAACCTGGGGGCTGGGCTGCTCTCCCCAGTTGGGCGTGAAGAGGACTTGTTCCTATGCTGTGGAGTGCGAGGAGATGGCAGGGGATGTTTCCAGCACTTTCGGTCTCGTCTTTCGTCTCTCCCCCTGTCACTTTGCCTCTTCATTTCCCCGCCCCAGCTGAAGAGAACCTGCTTCTCACTGCCTTTGCCTGACTGCCAGTAATAGGAGGGAACCCATTACTGGGCTCTCAAGGTCAAGAAGGAAAGGAGCTTAGGGGAGGAACAGGAAGGGGGAGAGAAAAGAGGCAAGAGGGTCTCCCTTAGGGCTGAGGCAAGGAGGTCTAGCCCCACATGTTGGCAGGAATAAATAGCGCTCTCCTGGAGCCCACTGCGGAGCCTTCCAGAGCCCCTCAACGTGAGCTGCAAATAGATGGAGACTGGCAGATTGTAGATGCTCAGAAAATGTTTGCAGGCAGCCCTGGCTTCTGTCTCAGGGTTTGAGCTGGTGCTTTCCATGTCTCTCTCACCACAGGATCACCCTGGGGTGGGGGAGGGTGGCTGGGATTCAGGGGCCTAGGTCTAGCCCCAGTGGCAAATACTAATGTATTTCTCCTTCTCCCTTCCCCTCCTCCCAGCATGTTTGACCAGATGGAATTGAAATCAGGTCAAAATGAGTATCCAAGGCAGCCTGCACTGGGGAGGGGAGGGGAGGTGGGGTAGCAGAAGCCACCAAAGGCAGACAGACAGTGTGGAGGTGAAATGCCACTATATTTTTGTCTTGGTGGTAGTAGTTTAGTGTTAGATTACAAGTAAATGAATATGCTATTGCTTTTCTTTACTTTTCATATATACATGTATTAATATGTTTGTGTGTACACCTTAGGTATTTTTGACTTTTCCTTTTCCTTAGGACATAGTATCCTTCTTCAGTATACTCCCTGGCCCCCAGGCCCTCCTCAGCTGTTTTAGAGGCCCCCCACCCCACACTGCACCCTAAGTACAATGTTAGGCTCTGCAGGCAATCCAACTAAGATGGAGTCACCAGGAATCTTCCTACCAGCTTGGCAGGAGCTCACAAGGAGGACCAGCCACAAATGGGTTTATAGTAGGTTTCTTCCTAGGGAGTGGAGCTGTCTATTGCAGTCTACTGAAAAGCCGAAGAAACCAATATCAAGATTTCATATCACAAAGGAACATATTTAAATAGGTATAAGCTAATACAGCAGTATAGAACTATTGTGCGTGCGTGCGCGTGTGTGTGTATGTGTGTGTACACACAATTCTGTGCTTATGTGTTCGGGGGCATGGAAGAACTATGTCTAGCTGGGAGGTAGACTTCACAGTAGTATGAAGCTTGAGGAGGATTTTCAGATTGCCTTTTCCAGGGTCCCCTCCTGCATTGAACATTGGCCCCAGGCTGGGGATGGCTGTTCAGCACAGGACCCACGGCACCAGTCCTGGGCTGGCCAAGCTTTATTCTTAAGTCCATAGGAAATGGGAAAAACTCAGTTCTAGTACAAAGAAGGGGCTCAATTTATATTTGTTGAATGGATGAGTGAATGAATGAGTCATTGGAGCATTGTCTTGGCTGGTCACCACCCTTCAGAGTTCTCTGGTTGGATCTTGATTATGTAGTTCAGGAGCCATTTCTTGCTCTTAGAAGGGAGTATGGCCCCTTAGGACCCCAACTCTAGATCAGCTAGGTTGATTATCTGGGATTTTCTGTTTTCCATTTAGGAGTAATTCCTCTGCTTTGACAGTCATGCATTGCCTGCAGTAGCTTTTCTTACAAGATCTCAAAGTGTTGTTGTTTAAAGATTATTTGCTCTTTAAAACATATCAGTGAGGTAAATTCATTTTATTAGTTATTCTTATTTTACTGATGGATCAAACTGATCCAGTATCATAGGGTAAGCTGTTGTGGGAGCAGAGATTAGAAACCAAGCCTGTGACTGAATATTCTCAGTAGAGGAGTCATTAATGATTACAACTGCCTTTTTGGATGTCAGAACTTGCAACTGATTCTTGAAAATATCTGGCATACTTTTGCTTCTTTTTCGTAACAGCTCAACTACACCAATCCATATTTTTACTTCGAAACCAATTTCAAATTTAGATTTTTGGTTTTTTTCTTTTCTGCCACTTTTTTTATTTCTTGTTCTAAAACCATTAGCGTTATGCTTAGGTGTTGTCCCCTCCATAAAGAATCATTGCTAAAAACCAAACAGACAAATGACTAGTAGCTGCTTTCCTGTACTGCAGAAGCCAGGATTGGTTAATGTAAAGAACACAGGCTTTCAGTCGTATAGGTTTGTGCTTGAGTCCTGACATTCCTACTGCCTCAGTTTCCTCATTTGTAAAATGAGGATAATAATTCTTCCCTTAGTAGGTTGTTGTAAATATTAATTGAGATTATATATGGAAGCATCTGGTACAGTGTTTACATATAGCAAATGTTTAAGAAATGCTCTGGGTGAAGTGATGGTGATAATTGATTCCACATCATGCAGTGGCTGCCTGACTAATTTGAATGGTCAGTTTAAGGGATTGAAATCAGGCATTTAGGGGCGCCTGGGTGGCTCAGTCGTTAAGCGTCTGCCTTCGGCTCAGGTCATGGTCCCAGGGTCCTGGGATCGAGCCCCGCATCGGGCTTCCTGCTCCACGGGAAGCCTGCTTCTCCCTCTCCCACTCCCCCTGCTTGTGTTCCCTCTCTTGCTGTGTCTCTCTCTGTCAAATAAATAAATTAAATCTTAAAAAAAAAAAAAGAAATCAGGCATTTAGAAGAGCAAGATGCTATTTTCATGTGCCCTGGTGAACAGACCTTTATGCAATTAGCTAATTTTGAAAACTCCACACTTGCTGCTGGTTAATGCACAGTGGATTCCATGCAGAACTTCCAGATGTCACTCTGAATTGCCCATTTGGTGTGTGTCGCCCCATACCTCCTCCAGATTTAGCAAGTGTCATTATAGAGTACTCTAAAGCCCACATGAATTCAACATGACTGATCACTCCCTTGACTAAATGCCTTCATTAATTCACTTGAAATTGGGAGACAGCACTTACAAATGCTGCTAAGCAGTTTTCTGTGCAGTGATGGGGAACATACAAAAGGTTGACTTGCTCTAAATTTGCTATCCAGCTCTTTGTAGCAGTGGTTCCGTTCTGTAATCAAAAGGGGCCACATGTAGAATGGTGAGAAAATACCCAAAATCCTGTCGCAATGAAGCCAAGGGATTTTGGTCCCAAGGAAAACAGGGCAAGTCTCTGCTTCTTCGCATCCCCTCAGAGGGAAGCTTTGTTGATTTGGTTGATTGGCTTATCTATAGTTAAATGCCGTCCAGTTTGTATAACCCTGGGGAAACACTCCAGATACGTTTGGGCAGTTTATTTAACGTCCTTAGGTAATCTTTTATGCTTCCAATCACCGCCATTAATTGCTTTCCAGCTAGGTGATAAGATAGTGATTCACTGATGCTTAGACTGCTCTCTGAGGGGGTACAGTACTTTTATTCCCTCAGAGAGGAAACTGCCTCTGAGTTGTGAAGTGACTTTGCCTTAGTTCATTCAGCCAACCATCCCAAGCTAAACTCCACTGGAGCTGATGCCAGGGCATTGGAGCCTTTAAGGTCTCAATGGCCAACAGCTATGCTTGTTACAGAGCTACCTTTGGGCCTCAAATGCAATCTGGGAAGGATCCAGTTTGGTTAGTAGGACCAGGTTTACCAGCTTCCCCTGTAGGTAGGTACTATATGACAGTGGGAAGTAGAATTGCTTAAAATGTGTTTATCATTCACATGGATATTTGGCAATTAAACACGTGATGGCTTTTTATTGCATTTAAGAAATAATCGATAACTCACATGTGGCTTTTTCCCCTACAAAAATGCAGGGAAATCATACTGGAGTCAGTAAACTTTGCAGCAGTTATGTAGCCTTTATGGTCTAAGATAGCAATGAGGCTGAGAATTTTAGCCAAAATGTATTTTTGTCAGTGCCCTCTTTCGCTTTCATAGTTTTTTTTCTCTCTGTAAATTTTAGTGAAGTGTGACATACATTCTGAAATGTGCATCTAACATAAATGTACAGTTCAAGGAATTTTCAGAATACTCCTGTGTAACCAGCACCCATATCGAGAATACAGAACATCAGCTCCCCAGAAACCGCCCTCATGGCCCCTTCCAGTTACTACCT